ATAAATAAATAAATAAATAAATAAAAGGCCAAAAATATATTTTGGACTCTGGGTTTAATCCCCCAGTCAGCCAAAGGGAAAAAAAAAAGTTTTACAATGAATCCATTGCTAAGTGTCTCATAAGAGTGCCTTGAAAGTAAATAAGTGCAATTTTAAAGTTAGATTTTCTCTTATTTTTGAAGCAAAATCTTTGCATTTTTGCACTTACTCTTTTATTATTAGTAGTAAAATTCACATAGTATTAAATTCATTGGATTTTAATATATTCACAGGTTGTACATGACTATCCAATATATTTTCATCATCCCAAATCTTTACCTGTTAGCAGGCTTTTCTAGCTGTGCTCCCCATACCCCAGCAACCACTATTCTTTCTCTCTCTGGATTTGCCCATTCTGGATTTTTCATATGAAAAATATATAATCATATAATACAGTGTTGTGTCGCTTCTTGTGATTGGCTTCTTAACATAGTGTTTTTAAGATTCACCAATGTATCAGTATTATTGTTTATTGCCCCATAATACTGCATTGGAAGGATGCAGCACATTGTAATTATGCGTTATGCTCTAATGAACAGTGCTGCTCAATATTTACTTATAGGGATTCGTGCAGACATGTTTTCAATTCTCCTGGGTTTATACATAGGAATAGAACGGATGGGTCATGTAATACCTCTTTGTTTAACTTTTGAAGAGCCTGTTCATTTATTTATATTTATTCATAGATCAGGTAAAAATTTGCAAATATTTTCTCCCCTCATATTCTTTTTTAATGTTTTCATTAGTATCAGGAAGAAATTCAAGAACTTAATGAAGTTGCAAGACATCGACCACGGTCTACATTAGTAATGGGAATCCAGCAAGAGAATAGACAAATCAGAGAACTGCAGCAAGAAAACAAAGGCAAGAATATTATCATTAAGTATAGCAATTAAAGAGAGAACTTTAATCTGCAATTGTTCCATTGGTTTGGGACTAATTAATATTTTCAAAAGTAGAAAAACAGCCATCTGAAGTTTAATATTAATCTCATTTCTATTCCATATGCCTAAATCTTATTTACCACTATTTTTTCCTGTCCTTATACATGAATGCCTGCCTTGCTTGGCATCATCTTAGATTCTAACCCTGAATATCCAGTTTATACCTTTGCTTCATTTTCTGCAGTCCCATTGCTTTGCACTCATAATTTTTTGTCCTAACTGTCCTCCTTGATTCTGGTCCCTTACCTCCTTCCATCAACCTTCAACACAAGCATCTGATTGATATTTTAAAAATAAATCAGTCATAGGGCCGGGGATTTAGCTCAGCGGTTCAGTGGCCTGCTTCGCAAGCGCAAGGACCCGAGTTCGATACCCAGTACCAAAAATAAATAAATAATTAAATCAGTCATGCTGCTCTTTTGCTTAAGAACTTTCATTGTATCCTATTTCCTTACACAAATGCCATCAGAGTCAGTGCTCAGCCTTCTTTCCTTATTCCCACAGCTCTCCTCCATGAAACCTTTGCTCTTGGCATCCTTAACACATCATCCACTTTCATCCCTCCCTGTGTAGAATAGTTATTCCTTCCTTTTTCAGCCCAAGGAATGTAAGGTCATCTCTTCTCAGAACTATACATCTATGAAGTTTTCACCAACTTTTCTCCCCAGCCCCTAGACTTCTTAAATGTATTTGAGTAGCTCTTCACTCTGCACTTACCACGTGTGTTTTCTTTGCTAGATTCTAAACTTTATGGCCTTTAATATTCTTAATGAGCAGGAGCACTGTCTGATATTTAATGGTTTTTCTGTAAATGTTGAAATGATTCTTTAAAAGTGTGTATAAATCAGATGTGGTGATGTATTCCTGTAACCCCAGCACCTAGGAGGCTGAGGTAGGAGGATAGTGAATCTGAGGACAGTCTAATCTACATAGCCAGGCCCACATTAATAAATAAAATGACCATTTAAAAAAACTAATTAGGGAATTAATTTAATGACTTTACGTTATATGGCTAGGCTTTTGTGCATCTTGTTTTCTGTTTAAAAACAGTTGATGTTTTGATAAATATACATGGAAAATAATATACTATGTATCCATAACTCAGGTTTGAATACAATACACTGTTATTCTTGATAGAATTGCGTACATCCCTGGAAGAACATCAGTCTGCCTTGGAACTTATAATGAGCAAGTATCGAGAACAAATGTTTAGATTGCTAATGGCTAGCAAAAAAGATGATCCGGGTATAATAATGAAGCTAAAAGAACATCACTCCAAGGTAATACATTCTATAAATGAGAGTTTGAGATGGAAAAGAGGCCAGTTGCTTAATCTGTGATCAGATTTTTTAAAAAATCACACATGTAGTAATACTGTTTTAACCTGATACTGAACACTTCATCCTTTTAATTGACATTTCTCCTTTTTCTTTTAATCATTTCTTACTCATTCCATGTCATTTTGTTTGATTTATTCTTCTAACTTATTGTTAGTGACTTTAATGTATACATTGTATATTAAGAAATAAACTTTTGGAAATAAAGGTAAGTTTTCAATTTCAATTTATTTTTATAAGACTATCTGCTTTTAAGAAGTATTTCTTCTAATAAATTTATGTAATGATAACAGTTGCAGAAACAAAAACTAAAATACAAAAAATTTTTTTTAAATCTGAAAGACAATGTAGATTTTTTTTTTCTTAACACAATTTTCTAGATGAAGCTAATTTATGCAGATAATTAATGATCCTGATTACAGTGGAATAATCAAGAGGTAGAAGAGAGGAAAACAAGCAGCCTGTTAAAATTTGCCCCAACAGTATATACCAGTTGACAATGTTTTTAGACACAGCTGACATGGTTAGAAAATACCAGCATTTTTCCTACCCCTCATTGTCTTTCCTGTATCTGTTTCCTTCGGTGTGTCCTGTGTTTGTTAGCAACTGTTAGGAAGATGACAAGTAGAGTAATCATTTCCAGTTACATTTTAAACTGAATTTTAATTGCTGGCACGAAATAAAAATGTTGGACTAGATTTCAGTGATAACTAGGCCATCATCTGAATGGATAATGGAGAGTTATTACTAATATTAAATCGTGATTGTTATAAGATAGAGTTTAATCTTTCTCAATTATTGAAACATTTTACATCAATGCCCCCTCTCTGTCTTTGTCTCTCCTTCCTCTTCTTTGCAGTGCTGGGTCAGACCTAGGGCCTCACACATACTAGGCAAGTGTTCTTCCACAGAGCTACATCCTTGCCCATGTTTTAGATTATTTAAAATGTCTTCCATTTTGCTCTTGTAGTTTTTAAATTATTATGAATGCTTTTAGAATTAAATATCTAGGAAATAGCCCTTTGTGTGACAACTTTACATATTAGGGAACTTAATAGGTGCCTCTTTTCTCAACTATTAAAATAATAAGTTATTAAAATTGGATTTAATGATTGATTTTATCTATTTATAATATTCATCTCTTTACCAAATGAAAGTTCTTGAGTATTTAAGTAGTGATCTTTTGAATATAAAAATATTATTAATGCGACCATTGTAAACCATTTAAATTTAAATGTATAACCAAGAATTTTTTTAAAAAGTTATATACAGGAACTGACTTAAATTATTACTAGGATAAATGTAATCTTTAGATATTTCAAAAGGCCCTTATAACTTGAAAAATAAAAATTTAAAATTTAAAGGGAAGAACAGACTGACTAAATAAAGTGCTTAAAATAAGATAATGCAGCTTGTTAGTCCCATTTGGCAGCAACTGGGACAGAGAAAATGTTTTCTAAAACACATTAGGGGTCCAGGGTGTAGCTCAGTGATAGAGCAAGTGCTTAGCTTGCATGAGGCCCCCCCCCCAGCACTAGAAATAATGAATAATTAAATAAAATGCATAGATGGTATATTCACCAGAGCTGTTCTATAATTAGCAAAGTTAAACATTTCCTAAGATAGCTAAAAGCCATCCATTTCATCATGTAGACTGAATTTTCCTTGCCTTCCATAAAATGACTATTCAGTTACTTGTTATTAATTCTAACTAATACATATTAATGTTTGTGATTTTGATTTTTCCCAAAAAGGAGATACTTTGGCTTAGTTAAACATTTATTAACACTTGCACTGCGTTAGTTGTTATGGGTGATTATAAGGTGAATAAGTTGTGTTACTATACAGGCAAGTGGTGTAATAGGAGGTAGAGACATAAACTGATTTGAGGTAGACTGGCAGAAATATAAATTGCTACTACAATGTAGTATTAAGGTAGCAGTATTGGTTCTCATGAGGAAAAGCTGGAAAGGTGTCAGGGAAAGAAAGAAAATCCAGCCTCTAATTAATTACAGGGACTAGGTTTAGTAGCAGAAATGATTAAATAGAAACAAGGTAAAGGCACAAAAATGTGGGATTCCAGGATATGTTTAGGTACTAGAACTCTGATAAGCCTAAGCACAGCAATTTTATACCACTCTTTAAGGTAACAATAGAGTTACACATAGTGCCAATTTGGAGTAAGAGGTGCTTTGAAACTACGGTAATACAGAATTTTGTACTCACCTAGAACTTTTTGAGTTCACACTTTAAAATTAATAGAACTCATTTTTATCCCAGTGCCTATTTTTACATAATTTTTAACAGATACCTTTTTGGAAATCTTAAAAAAACAAACATTTTGAACAGTTGGCTAACACGCATGAACTAACACTCATTCAGTTCTTAAATTACGGATAATATCCGTATTAACATTATAATGACTCTGTACTACAGATTGACATGGTACATCGTAACAACTCCGAAGGATTCTTCCTTGCTGCATCTCGACACATCTTTGAAGCACCTCAGCATGGACTCGAGAGGAGGCACTTGGAAGCAAATCAGAATGTACCCTAAATAAAACAGTCAACTTTGGGGTGTGGATGGAAGGGGGGGCTCCATTTAAAAAGTTCTTTTATCTCGAAGTTCTGCCCCAGATTAGATTAGCAAATAAATCAGAGAATGCTGTGCTATTGATACCCTTGCCTATTCAGTGTGGAAACTTTAGATTTGTCATTAATTCTCTGTGTCTTATATAATCTGATATGTGACCACAGATTTTAAAGGACATGTAGCCCAGCTTTTCATTTACTAGTTCTTGTTAGCTCTTGCTGTAAATTTTATGTCTGCGAAACAGTTATTCGCCTTCTTGACATCAGTGATATTTTCTTGGCATTAATTTTAACCTGAATCATAAAAATGTTGGTCCACAAACTATTGAAATGTTTTCATTTAGATTTTTTTTAATCCTTTAGTTTGAGTTTATACATAAAGCAAAAATGCCTTTTGTTTAGACATTTTAGTTGAATATGGTATTGCTCTTTCTCTTGTGTCTTAAAAAATATTTAGGTATGGTAGGTCTTTTACTGAGTACAGTAGAAATCAACTTAGACAAAAGTTATAAATTAAAAATTTTAATACAGTTCAAGGATTATGTTGCTGACACCTCTTACCTTCATGACAGTTTTGAAATCACAGTTCTTGCCTTTTGTTCCCATTAAAAATTCTCTTAATTCTTCTCTAAAGATTTTATATTTATTAATAAATGAATCATTAACTAGGCCCATAAAAATATCATTGCATTTGAAATATTAGATTTTTTTCATGTGTTGATCTTGTTAGAACAGATTCTTTCCTAAAAAATAATAGTTCTGTTTTCTTCCATTTTAAAAACAAAGAAGTACTTGCTGCTTACGTAGTTTTCTAACCTGTTTTTCAGCCACAGGACTACCAAATCATAAATTAAGAAAGCTGTTGGTATTTAAAATTTTAATTCATTACACATTCAGTTTGCTACTGTGGGTATCTGTATTTATATACTATTAAGTGTTATGTTCCCATTACAGTAAAAGAAAGTTTGATTTTTAACTGTTACAGAACATGGCAAATTTTATCTTGAGATCACTTTTGCTATTCTACTCCACAGCTGTCTGATGTAACTTCCTGGAAAGAGGGAAATGTTCTTGAGATGTGCCCCTGGAGCACTAGCAGGTGTCACTAGTGCGACTGAAGGATGGAATTTTAAAAATGTATTTGATATTAATGTTGATAGCACTGTACTGCGCAGCACAGATATCTTCTCTTATGCCTGCTTCCTAAGTCCTCCAATTATGTAGGTTTCTCCTGGGGGATAGTGCAGTGGTACAGTGTGTGCTTAGCATACTCAAGTCCCTGGGTTCAATCCCCAGCATCAAAAGAAGTAAAATATGGACTGGCAGTTCTGTTCCAAATTATTAAATAGGAGGGCTGGGGATTTAGTTCAGTGATTCTGCCACCTGCCTCACAAGCACAAGGTCCCAAGTTTGATCTCCGGTGCCAACAAAAAAAAAAAAAAAAAAAAAAAAATTTTAAATAGGGCTATGTGGTAGAGTTCTTGCCTAGCATATGCAAGGTCCTGGGTTTGATCCCTAGCACCACAAAAAAAAAAAAAGTTTTTTTTCTCTATTTCTTCCAGTGTAAGAGTTTTGTAGGTCTTTAGAGGGCTTGTCCCAATTCTTTTTACAAGGAGAGAATATGACTGTCTCTCACTAAACTATATGCTCCATTAGGTCAGAGAATATTTCTTAATAGGCTTCATATCCTGATGCCTGGCACACAGCCTAACATATCATAGGGGTGCAAAAAGCAAGGATTGAGAGTGGAAAAATGTATACACCTAGCAGACTGAAATTATATTTTCAACAGTTAGAAAGAAAGCCATTTAATATTTTACTACATCAAAACAATTCTGTTCATCTTACTCAATTTATTACATACCAAACATTAAATAATAGGCAAATATAAATGGGATATACTTCCTCTCTCAGGGAGTATTAGTAGAAAAGGTTCTAGGTTGGACTGGGATTAATTTATAGTCATGGGTAATATAGAAGAGATTTGTAAACCGTGAAGACTTCAGAGAAGAAAAGAGATTAAATTTGTCAATAATCCTTATCTCTCCCATTATTGTATGTTTAGTACATTTAGGTATTAAAAAAAAAAAAACTTGCCGATCATTATGGTGAGAAGAATGTAAAATGAGTAAATTCCTTGCAGCTGGATCTAGTTATGCTGTGCTTTTGGCCTTAATTCTAGTCTAATAGAAATCCAATTTAAAAACACATTCATGGTCAGCAGACTTTGTTGTGATCTGTTACATTCCTGTAAAGCAGCAATATAAGAATAATTACATTCAAAATAAACAAAAAAGAATATTACATTCATGTTAAGTGGCACTGTGGATTTTATAAAAAGAAAGGGTTCCAGAAATAAAACTGAAGTATTTCACTGATTCCCAACTCTCGTCCTTTTTTTTTTTCAGGAGTTACAGGCACATGTTGACCAGATAACTGAAATGGCGGCAGTCATGAGAAAGGCCATTGAAATCGATGAGCAGCAGGGTTGCAAGGAACAAGAAAGAATATTTCAGCTTGAAGTAAGTTTTAAGTTGTAAGTGTAGGAAAAAACTGTCCATACAGCTTACATTGGAAAACATATCCCAGTGGCCCATACTCTTCTGGGGTACTTGGTAATGTTTTGTTTTTTCTTGAGACAAGGTCTTACTAGTAGTTCAGGCTGGCTTTGAACTTGCAGCAGTTCTTGGACATGCTCAGCCTCCAAGGTGCTGGGATTACAGATGTGTCCCACCACACCTAACTGTGTTCTCTTTCTTTTCTCTCTTTTTAGCTATTCAAAAAACTTTTAAATTGGGATGGCTTTAACTTTAGAAATGTAAATATTCTTGAAATTTACCCAAATTGGCTTTTATTAGTACATTTTAGATGTACATAATGAAAACATTCATCATAGGGAATTTATACCTCTACATGATATATCTTGCTTCTTTTTTTTCTCATTTCTCTTTTTCTTTATCTAGATACTGCTGTATTTATGGACTTATGCTGCAAGACTATTTATATAGTAAAATAAGAATCTAGGATCATTAGTAAACTTATACCAGAAATTGAGAAAGTTGGATTTTATTCCTGTATTGCTTTTTTTTTGGTACCAGGGATCAGATTGAACTCAGGACCTTGCGCTTGTGAGGCAGGAGGTGGCACCACTGAGCTAAATCCTCGGCCCCTGTATTGCTTTTTTACTCAATGAATTTACTTCTTCAGTTTTGTAATTTTCAAAAATTTGTTTATTCTATTAAAGATCATAGTGTTGCAGGGAAATACTGTTTCTAATTCCAAAATGATATTTTTCCAAATGCTCCTTTTTCTGAGAACTGTAATAGCCTTTGTCTCTTCTCTATTTTATGATAGCAGAAGTAAAAATAGTTGAATAACTCAAGTCATAAAAATACTTTCATACTTTAAAAGTTTTATTTATTTAAAATGATAAAAAATTGCTTACAGAGGGCCAGAAATGATTTCTTTCTGAGTATGTACAGTGTTCACCCATCTGTACAACACAAGTGAGCAAACTTTTTCTATAAAGGGTCAGTGTATTTTTGACTTTGCAAGCTAGGTAGTTTGGACCTGTTTAACTTAGCCACTGTAATGCAAAAGAAGCCTGGGGTGGGAGTGGGGGGGTGGGGGGGATAAGCATTGCTATGTTCCAGTAGAGTTTAACTTAGAAAAATAGGCCTCAGTGTAGTGTAATCCTTGTTTTATGCCATTTTTGAAATTGATGCTAAGGGTAGAAAATAAATAATGAAAGATCATTTTAAACACTTGCACATTTCTTACAGTAATTAATCTAGAAGGGGAAAAAAGTGCAAAGTGGTTTATAGTGCCAGATGTGTCCACTTATTCTCCTTGAAAAGTATCACCTCCTAGCCAGCCCTGTTCTCTCCAGTTCCAGGGAGAAAAACAAACTAGATGGCTTGTCCTGTTTTCCATGCTATTGTGGACAGTAATAAAAGTACTTATGTACTGAGACATTCTACTCTGAGGATGTTATTTACTACCTTTATGAGTTACATAAACATAAATGTAGATGTTATTTTCCTCTAGAATGATTATAAAATAAGGCAGTTTCTGAGTTTTCATCTCAATCACATTTGCCTATTTAAGGGTTTAAAGTGGTAGAAGCGATTGAGCACAATTCCACCTCTTTAAAGTGTTGTTTAGATTCAAGTTGTCAACTGTATATATGACTTAGTACTTTCATGGCAATCACAGAACTTTTTGTCATACATTCATAGGATTAGACTTCGAAAGTATGTTTGCCTTCTTGTAACTACCTTTTAGATGGTGACTGCAACTGTTTTTGCTTTCCTCCTTATAGCAAGAAAACAAAGGCTTGAGAGAGATTCTTCAAATAACTCGAGAATCATTTTTGAACCTTCAGAAGGATGATGTATCAGAAAGTACATCTTTGTCAGCATTAGTGACCAATAGTGATCTGAGTCTGAGAAAGAGCTGAAGGAGTTCAGTCTGGAGGCTCTGTTCATGACGCCACACAGTCGCCAGGACTGGCTGATCAGTGAATGAATGAATGAATGAATGAACAGAAAATTCAATTTCAGTCAACAATTTTCCCCCTTTTTAGTATACAGTGTACTGACTAAGAGATAGCAGTGAAAAAATGTGTATTTAATGGTTGTAAACTTTATTCCAAAACATGGAAATGTAGAAATGAGCCGCTGTTAATTGGTGAACAAATGAAAGATTTTTCACAGTGACTCATATCAAGTGTTCAGTAATGCTATTACCTCTCTGGATGATATAAATATAAACTCAACTAGTCCCAATAAATGTTTGGGAATTCATAGAATTATTCCAGTTTTAAAATACAAGTTTTTGCCATGGTTTTATGAATAAGAGATCTGCATACTGAATTTTATTCTTCCTGTTTGGTGTCAGAATTAACAAATTGTTTGCGCCGTGCGACTTACTACTTAAGTAATTGCCTGTCTACTTTCCTGTTAATTTAATTTTTTATCAAAGAAAATCAGGTTTGAAGGCACTAGGAATGTTTCATATGTTCCACAAACAGGTAATTTAATTCTAGCTAATTTACCGTAACTAATTCTTAGCTATCAGTTGTCTGTAATGTGCTTAGATGTATGAAATATCATTTCAGGAATGAAAGAGAAGGAATAATTACTTTCTAAGAAAGAAGATCTTATAATAGACATATTTAGTAGGTTAAACTACTCTTTTGAAAGAACAAGTTTTGATTCTCAGTCATTATGAAAATGAGATTTTTCTCTTCTCTGGTTGATACCTATTAAAGGGTATGATATGGTTCATTTAGGTAACAGTTGAAATGTTTGATATAGCAAGATAGGTATGGTGACTTTCAAGGTAAATTCAGAGTTCCTCTGGTTCATGGAACCCCTCTTTTTTTTAGTAATTATTCTTGAGATACAAAAAAGTAGAGTCAAATTTTAGAAAAAAATCTGGATGTATTTTTAAGCTCCATCTGTTCCTCATACTCTATAAGATTTTTCTTCTGCCCTTTCATTTGGAAAGGAAAGTGGAAATCATGGATTTATAAGTATTTCTCTTTTGTTTTTTAAAAAAATATCAAATATACAGTGTTTGAATTTTTAAAAGCTACCAGATACAGAAATGTGCTTTAACACCAATTAAGACCTAAAGTTTTCTTATTTTGTAGTGAGTATAGAAGAGTATCGAAGATGAATGATTATATTATACTCATTTATATTAAATACATATTAAAATTAGCACAAATGGAAAATTCTACTTTTGAGTATATAATTTGTTAAGGAAATATTACTTTTCGTGATAATTTTTGTGTATTATTTCATATATTGGTAAAATTCAAAACTACTTTTCACTTCAGAGATTTTCTATCTTAAGTTCAGGGTGGATGGGCTGATTAGAAAAGGGCTAATAGTCCAAACATTAAGTAGATTTCTTTTCTCATTCAGAGGCCTTAATTAATGTTTTATAAATAAATGGCATTTCTTTATTTTTAAACTTTTCTATATGTTTTTAGGAAAGTATCCCCTCACTCAATGGCATATTCATTCAAATAGTTTTTATCCCAAGGAAAAGGAAAATAAGCTATGCAGTTGAGATTATGTCTGAGGCAATTCATTGTGGCAGCTTTATTATAAAACATTGATAAATGATTATTTTTGTAAACAAATAAGTTAATTTATTCTTGGTCTTACTTGGATAAATTTTAAGGTCTTGGGTGTTGAAAGACATTCACTTTGTTTTTAGGACAGTTTTCCACCCCATTTTTTTTTTAATAGGACTTTAAATTAATGTCTGAGGGTATGTATTGGCATAGGAGCCTATTTTATCAATAAAGATGAGTGGTTAAAACTGGCATGCCTCCAATTTAATTTGAAAACAGTGTTTATATTTCTTGTATATGGTTTATTTTTAAAGCCTTTTGTCTCCTCTTACCACAAAACAAGTACTTAGCAACAAGTTTTGTTTTTGTTTCTTAGGAGTAGGACAGCAACTACTTACCGCTGATCTTACAGATCTTATCTGTAGTCAGATGAGTACTGTCCCCACAAAAGCTAAGTCCAAATCCTAAACAGCTCTACCTGGAAATATAACTACATCTGGAAATAGAAAACTTTTATACATGTAATTATCTCAGGATAAGGTCACTTTGGATTTAGTTTGACCCTAAATGCAATGACTGGTATCCTTGTTAAAAGAAGATTTGAAACCCAGAGAAAAAGCCACATGAGGACAAAAGCAGAGATTTATGCAAACCAAGGAGCACCAATGACTCTTAGCCACCATCTGAAACTAGGAGAGAGGCATGGAGTGGATTTCCCCTCAGAGCCTGCAGAAGAGACTGCCCCACTTGATTATAGGGTCTGGCCTTCAGAACTGTCAGAAAATAAATGTCTGTTATTTTAAGCTACTCAGCCTGTATTTGTTACAGCAACCTTAAGAAACGAATACATCATGTATTCATCATAAATCAACATTTAAAACATTTTATATAGGGATTAGAGTTCTAAAAATAATATACAGCCTCACAGATAACAATGCTTTTTGTTCAAATTTATATTCTTTGATATTCTTTTATAACAAAGCAACTTCTAAATTTTTATATTTCTAAACTGCTTCAGTGAAGAAATGGAGGCTCATAGATCCATAAACTTGGGTGAATACTAGCTGTTTTATGAGTAAACCAAAAAAATGTTTAATGAAATATTGATGATAATTTACAACTGGCATATGAGGGGAACTTTTCCTTTTCCCTCACTGGCTGTTGTTTCCAGCCTCTTGTTCCTGTCTTCTCTCTGGCCTCTTAACACTCCAGAGAGCCATTGAGTGCAGGTCTTACTGCTATTGAACACTGTATCTCTACTCCATAAGCTCCCCAGACTCGGAACTTTACCACCTGTATGATGGATGACTCCCAGATTTACACTGCCAGCTCAGACTTCTCATTAACTTCAAACTCATCCAGCTGTGACTGCCAGCCAGTCCAAAGTCATACTCACGCATAACTACCAGAACCTCTCCAGACTCTCATCAGCCTGGTTGCTGACAACTGCAGCTTTCTAGCTGTCAAGACCAAAACCCTAGTGGCACCTGACCCTTTTCTTTTACAGCTTGCATCAAATTCATCAGCAAATGTAACAGCCGACCCTTCAGAATATATACCACTTCTCAGCGTCTGCGCTACTCCTCGTCCAAACCATGTTAGAGTAGACAAATTGGATTCAACCTAAATATACTATTCTAGGAGAACTGTTAAGTAAATTCTGGGTATCTTCTCAATGTAGTTTATTGTGTACTATGGTCTAAAGATTCTAGCAGTAGAAAGAAAAATATTTGCGTAAAGGCTTAATATAAATATAATGTATATATAAATCAGATGAAAAGGGAAATCTATAAACAATAACAACATACTTCAAATTAATTCTACTGTGCCAATTCCTCTTGCCTGCTGGGGATTTAGCTCAGTGGCACCACGCCTGCCTTGCAAGCACAAGGTCCCAAGTTCAATCCAGTGTCATAAAAAAGCACTATCAACTTCTGTTTCCTGTAAACCAAAGCATTTTGTAACTACCATTGTATAAATGTGTTGTAATTTATGCTGTTTCCCCATTGGATATTCAGACTGCACATTTTTAAACAATACTGCAGTAGATACCCATATACATACCTTTATTGTCATTTCTGGTGTATAATCCCTGGAGGTTTGTTATATCATGCTCATCTATATCACTTACCCTTTAAATAAAAATAATTGTACGTTGGGCTGATTTAGCTCAGTGGCACCACTCCTGCCTTGTAAGCGCAAGGTCCTGATTTTGATCCCCAGTACCAAAAATAATAATAATCGTATGTTTTAAAAATATACAATTCAGCAGGGTCAGCCTCTTTCCATAACCTGACTTCCTGGGGTCTTTATTAGCCTCTTGTGAATCAAAAAACCTATGGATAAAGAGCTGCTTTTATACACATACAATTGAAACCCTACTATATGCCTTGGTAATTAACCTTGGAATTTTTAAGTTAATGACATCCCTTACAAATTTTTTTCCCCAAATGAACAAAAGAAAACCAATAAACCAACTATTTTAGAGCAACCAAGGCCTCAGAAAATAGCAATAAGTAGCATTGTAACCACGATAAAAAATACCTTGAAACACAGGATATACTTCTCAAGCAGCAGACACAGATATGAAGACTACTTGGGGTTTCTGTAATACTACAGAGAAAGCCAGGCATGGTGGTGCATGCCTGTAACACCAGATATTAAGGAGACTGAAGTAAGAGGATCATAAGTTCAAGGCCAGCCTGGTCAAATTGGCAATACATGATCTCTTAAGGGCTGGGAATATAGCTCAGGAGTAGAGCACCCCTAGATTCAAGCCCCAGCACTACAAAAACTACAAAGCAGCAAACTGGTTATTGGTCTGTGCTGTGGTTGCACATAACCCCCAAACCTCAGCACTTAGCTTTTATTTTTATATACAGTGGAAAATGACTAGAGCTTTAAAACGGAGGTGATTTGTCAGCTCCTGGTCTTGAACTACAGCACCACTCTGTGGTCAAGTGTTCAGTGCTATTTTTTAAAAAGTGATTAAAAATTTTTTCTTTGTATGAGTTTCTCATGTTGATTTGCCCTAACATTAGCTTTTACTCCTATTTCATGCAAGGCTCTGGACCTGGTAAAACACAAAGAGCAAAGCATCTCAGTGGATAGAAAATACCTGGTATGTGTCACTGAACAAATTCAGAGGAGAGCCAGTTTGGAAGGAAAGTGGAGTTACTGTTTGTCAAACAGAAGACTCCTGTGTTGAGAAAAATGTCAGGCATTATAAGCACAAGAGATTGTTTAGACCTGACAATACATTTTAGTTGTTTTAAGAAATTTGGATAAAGAGAGGGTCTCCTCCCCCACGAGATGGCCATGTTTTTGTTTTTTAAAAAAGGAGTTGAAGGGCCAGGCATGGTGGCACATTCCTGTAATCCCAGCACTCGGGAGACTGAGGCAGGAGGATCACTGAGTTCGAGACCAGCCTGGCTACACAGTGAGTTCCAGGTCAGTCTCTACATAGCGAGACCCTGTCTCAAAAAAAAAAAAAGGAGTTGAAGCCCACCTACTTGAATTGCTGAAACCACAATCCATGAAAAACTGGGGAGCAAAGTCACCCTTAATAGTGTCTCATTTGCTGTTGCCAGCTATTCCTCTGCCCCGAGCTTACAACTTATAGGTACAGGCATCTGTGCTCTTCCAGGTCAGAGAACATGCAAGCAAGTTGGGGCAACAAAAAGTCCCTTCTAATGGGACCCAGAAACCTCATAAAACAGAACAAGCCTTGTACCCCCAAAGACCAATTATGGCCATTCTTTAATCTTCCAAGGAAAAGAATTGACCCTGAGGACGTTATATTCACATACAAGACTCAAATAGAAAATACATTTTTTAGTTTGGTTGGCTTTTTTTGTTTTGTTTTTTTGTAGTGCTAGAGATTGAACCCAGGCCTGCCACACTGAACTATATTTCCAGACCTTTTTATTTTGAGATAGGGTCTTGCACAGTTCCCCAAGCTGGACTGTAACTTGGACTCCTGTCTCAGCCTTCAGCGTGCCCTGCTACACTAGGCTGAAAACATTACTTTGAGGGTCGTATCTCAATGGATCACTCAGCACCCATACCCACTTGTCAGAGAACAAATGCTAACTCAACTTCCTCTTTATGTCAATTTCATAAAGCATATTCCTTAAAAATGTGGTGGCCAAATCACCAAGAAGCATTTCCATCAACAGGGTCCTGTACATTTGCACACTACATTCCTTTGCTGGGGCTGTCATAACAAAATAGCCGCAGAAACTATTTTCTCAGTTCTGGAGGGTGGAAGTCCATGTACAGTGTTGGCAGGGTTGGTTTCTTCCCAGGCAGATGGTTGCTCTGTTGATGTGGCTTTCCTCTCCGCACACAAATCTGTATGTCCTAGTCTGGAATCCCTGGGCCTCAGGTATGCTAAGCACGTGGTCTACCACTGAGCTACACCCCTACCCCCATAATTTCCTCTTGGTGTTAAGGACACCAGTCAGATTGTTTTAGGGCCCACTCTAGTGGCCTTAATGTACCGGGGATACAACTGGTGACCTTGAGCTTGCGAGGCAGGTGGCAGAACCACTGAGCTAAATACCCAGCCCAATTTAATCACTATTTAAAGACCCCCATCCTAGTTACTTTTCTCTCATTGCTGAGATAAAATACCCAACATCCAAAGTTAAAGGGGGAAAGGCTTATCTGGCTTACACTTTGTAGAGGTTTCGTTTCAGTCCATAATCACCTGGCTCCACGGCTGGGACGGCAAGCAGGCACCGCAGAGGAGAAACATGGTGCGCACAAGGTAGGAAAGGGAACAAGGGGCCTTAACAGTGTCTTTCTGCTCCTTTTAGCACCCAGCATCAGCGATGCCAAACCAGTCACTCGTGTTCAGTAATGACAAACCCTTAATAAGCATCACACATTCCAGATTCAGCCACCTCTGAAAAAGAAAGCCCCATTTCACACACATGAAGCTCTAGGGAGAACCTAAACAGGCCATATCTCCAAATTAAGTCTGAGGTACGGGGGAGTTAGGGCTTCAGTGGGAGAGGGGAGCGCAAGTTAGTCCACAATATAAAGGAAAATAGGTAGCCACTTTCCCACCAAGAGCAGAGACACAATGTTGGTGGGCTGGGTTCCTCACATTAACACCAAGGCCTTTAAAGAAAAGTCTGTACCAATGCTGCTGTGGAGATATGTATGGATATTGCAATTTTAAATGTCACCTGAAATAAATGATAAATGGGTCTAAAGTCTCAATGAGTAACATAGAAAAACGTGTGTGTAAAATTAATAATTTAACATAAGAGATCATAGCAAGAAATAGTAACATTAGCAATATTCTACCAATTCTTCAGCAGAAGAAAGTTGGAAATACTCAGGGACTTCTATCTTCATCACGTAAGAGTGTAAAACACATTCTGATAGGAAGTCAGGCATCTCAAACTTAGTTATAAAATAAAAGGGGCAGACAATATGATCTCTAAAGCCCTTTCCAGCTTAAAATTCTAATTAGAATTCGTTTTTTAATCCCACCTTCTACAGAAAGCTCTCACCATCATCCCCTTATCCATAGAGAAATCTCTGGCAAGTATTATAGTGAGTTTTGGAAACCTGATAGCTAACCTGTAATATGTTAATCAGAACTTTTAGAAAACATTTAAAGAACAGATTTTTCTGTAATACTACCACTTTTCCTCAGTTCGACATACCTAAAGTACTAATGACCCCCTGAACAAATAGTCCATTAGAAGGAATCCGTTTTCTAACAATATAAATTTGAACACACTGCCCCAGATTTCCTTCATTTCCAGAAGCTGATATTTTAAGATAGAGCATTAAATTGTCCAGATTCAACAGTTCTGTTTCTATAGCTGTGAAACTTTTCTCTCATGTATTATTGCTATGATACAAATAGAGTCAATAATAACTTTTATGAGAATACCATAATAAAGAGGCTTTTTGCACTTTTTAAAAAATAGCTATTTATTATAAAATTATACAAACTGACTTATTACAAATTATACTGAAAGTTTTTAAATAATTTGTATCCTCCTCCAAAAAAAATGTGTTCTGCCTTTTACAGTCTTGAGTCAGTACAGAAATTCGGATGGTACAAAAAGTGATTCACAAACCTTTCATTAAACCTTGATAAGAGTGTACAAAGATATGGTTGAAACCAAAGTCCCAACAGTACATTTTTTAATCAGATTTTTTGGTCCATTTTAAATTATAAACAATAAGAATTCTAGAGTAGTAAATGGATACCTGCATTTAAATTTTCAAAGCAAAAATGTTTCACTTTCTCTTTTCTCATTTTGTTTTATCCTTTCCCAAAACACTTTTTCTTTTCATTTCTTTCTTTCTTTTCTTTTTTTTTTTTTTTTTTT